CTAGACTACAGGGTTTGCCCAGCTGGAAGGGACTTCTGGCACACACCGCTGGGTGTCCACCAGCATCCATGCACAGCTCTTCTTTGTCCTTCTCTGAAGAGACGGGGAAAATGAAACACTGTCACAGCTCCCCCTACAGGTAGGGGTGGTAAATGAGACAGAAATAGCTTGCTGGGGCACTGGGAAAGCTCTGCTCTTCCGATAAAAGGGGGAGGCTTTGCCGGCACCATCCTTCCCCTCTGTTTTCTGTCTCACCCAGAAATATAAAGCCTGCAGCTGTTGTGGGTACCACCCAGGGACCGAGGAAAAGGTCAAGAGGATGTCTGAGGTGCTGGCCTCCGCGTTCCCTGTGCTCCGGCACCGGGACTCCAGGGAGAGAGACACTTGCCCGAGGCCCCTGCAGCCACTCTGGGGGGCTCACTGGGGAGGGTACCATCTGCTGTTTGGAGGAGGGGGAGCTGGTAAGGAATATGGCTGAGAATTCTTTCCTCAGGATGACTCGTGCCTCAGAGAAGCATCAAACAAGCAGGGGTCTCGTGCTAAAGTAACAGCAAATTAACACCACAAGCTGTTCCGGGGTTTTCACAGCTCCAGCTCCAGGCTAACGAAACCTGTAATTAACGCCCTGCCCCACACCTTCCGTGAAATCGGCTGCAGGCTGGGGTGGGAAGAGAGAAAAGGCCCCGCAGGCTACCAGCCACACTTCCAGCCACACCCACCTCCTCAAAATCATTAACACCTCCCACCTAACCCACAGAGAAGGCTGAGCCCCGCCAGCATCCAACCAGTGCAGCTGTCGGACCGAGGGAGGTCGCTCCCTGCTCACCTTCTCTGTGGAGAGCCCAGCCCGCGAAGGGTTAAATCCGGGACTATCCAAGCGAGGCTATGTGCTTAAATATTTAGAAAGAAAGAAATTTGATTTGAAGGCAGAATCACTTGTGAATAAATCCCATGACCCTGGGTTCTGAGGACAGCAACAAAAGGAAACTCCAGCGTATTAAGACGTCCCAGCTCATCTTATAAAGCCACAGGGAGAGACAAAGGCGCGATGACAAAGCACTGGGTGCAAACTGGAAGCAATTAAGTGTGGTCATTTTCTCTGTGTTTTTAATACAATAGGTTGCTCAATGCAATCATTACGTCCTTTTAAAGTAGTGCAGAGATTGATCTTTGTTGATGAATCTCATTATATTATAAACATCCTAAAATAAACATTTGAAGAGACCCCTGCGTGTCCTTTAGTTTTTACAAAGTGTTCTCTTTTCTGCCTTTTAAATCACTGCTCCCACATTCTAGGTTTCTGGAAATTGAGGTGCACCCTGCCTATACAAACCAACCCTTGCCCTGAATTTCATTTCCAGTTCACATTCGATACTTATTTCTTAACAGCAATTACATTTTTTAAAAAATTGGAGTTGATTTACGATACTGTGTTAGTTTCAGGTGTGATTCAATATTTGATTCAGTATTTTTGCAGATCACACTCCATTATAGATTATTACAAGATAATGGGTATAATTCCATGTGCTGTACACTAAATCCTTGTTGCTTACCTATATTATCTATAGTAGTTTGTATCTCTTAATCCCTAGTTTGTCTCCCCCACCTTCCCCCTTCCCTTTGGAGACGACGAGTTTTTGTTTCCACGTCTGTGAGTCTATTTCTGCTTTGTGTATACACTCATTTATATTATTGTTTAGATTCTACATATAAGTGACATCATATAGCATTTGTCTTTCTCTGTCTGACTTATTTCACTAAACACAGTATTCTCTAGGGCCAGCCATGTTGCTGCAAAAAGCAGTATTTCATTCTTTTTTTATGGCTGAGTAATCTTCTACTATATATTTATGTGTCTGTATGTGTGTGTGTGTG